TGTAGGTGAATCTTCCTGTAGAGAAGGAACCTGCAGCGCCGAGAGATGCCGCCTGCGCCGGGGTGTGGGGAATACCTTGTGCGGGGGGCTGTGCCTGTGTCCAGAGGGCGGCCGGGGCTGGCATCGGACTCTCCCACTGTGTCTGGAGGTTCGAAGAGGGTGGGAGTGGGAGTTCCCTCCGAATTCCTGCAGGTGAGCTTCTGATGAAATCTATCTTTTAAAGGAACGGCATCCACCTTTAGCTTGTCTGTTCCCAGTACGTTGTGCGGACCTGCACGCATGTGGATACGCAGCAGGAACTCTCCACCTCGGGGTGTCCTGGGCTCACTCCTTCCCCAGACTCTGAGAAGGGGGCGCTGCCGCTTCCGGGGAACGTGAGAGCAGCGTCTCTGCCTCTTGCTGTGTCTGTCACAGATGAGCAGCACTGAGCCAGATCTGCTGCGGGAGCTCAGGGAGTGGTGGTTTGAAAGGGAGCGCTGACTGTCACACCCTGCGGCACGGTCGGAATGTGTGTGGAATTTCCTCGTTACACCTTGCGTTTAGTATCTGTCATCTTGCAAAATCATGTTCAAAACAGTGAAACACCTGCTTTTCCCTCTGAAGTTGACTGGCAGCCCTAATTAGCACTGTGGCTTCTTTCTTTAAAGAGTAAACTGACCGTGCGCAGTGGCTCACGCCTGTAATCCCAGCACTTTGGGAGGCTGGGGCGGGTGGCTCACGAGGTCAGGAGATCGAGACCAGCCTGGCCAACACAGTGAAACCTCGTCTACAAAATTTAGCGAGGTGTGATGGCAGGCGCCTGTAATCCCAGCTACTCAGGAGGCTGAGGCAGGAGAATTGCTTGGACCCAGGAGGCGGAGGTTGCAGTGAACCAGATCGTGCCATTACACTCCAGCCTGGGTGACAGAGCGAGTCTCTTTCTCAAAGAAAATAAAAAGTGAAAAAAAAAAAAAAAACTAGAAGAAAATGTAAAACTAAGTGTGTCAACAAGGCCAGTCCATCTGAGAGCACAGCTTTCTGGAATACAGAGGCTGCCGGTCGCTGGGCGCGGTGGCTGCGGTGCCTGCCCGCATGTTTCTCACTGGGCACTCTCTTGTTCCTCCAGGTTCGCCATCGGTGGTGTGAACTCATTGTTAAGCACAAGTTCACAAAAGCCTATGAAAGTGTGGAGCGGTTCCTTCAGGAGGATCAGGTAGGTGTCATCCTGCAGCGGATGGGGGTTCCGTAAAGGCTGTCCCCTGCACTTCACACAGGAACCCACGTTCTCAGTATCTCTTTCATAACAAATAAATAAATCTGTCCCAGAGATTCTTAAGGACTGGTAGGATCTTACCTAACACTGATACTTCTGAGCTGCTTTTTTCCTCTCTTAGTGGATTGAGTTGGGCACCTTCGGTGCTGCCTTGTGGCCCACATGTCATCCGATGCTGCGTGCTCACACTTCACGGCGTCTCCAGCACCTGCTAGGCCATGCTTGTCGCTTGGTGATGCCGTGCGGTAGATCCCTGATCAGTGGCCCTCATTGAAAGTACACATGCAAGTCAGACTGGGAGAACCCTGATGGGACAGTCGGTCTGTACCTGCACCTGCTGTGCTGTGCTAGGCAGGTTCCTCTCTGTGGGAGCTTTTCTCACTGTTCACCGGGGACAGCCGTCCCCTTCCTAGGAGCTCACAGGCAGTGCGTGTGCGGGAGCGGATCTGGGGAGACCCTCATCGGCTGCCTCGATGTCCGCAGTTTGTCAGGTCACCAACAGGTGTGTCCTGTGACACGTCACAGCCTCCCACACCCACCCCGTTTCCCCACTCTCCACTCCCTCCGCCTCCGAGTGAGTGGCCTGCCAAGCGCTGTGGGTGACAGCGTGGAGCTGCCTTCCAGCTGGGGTGGAGAGTGGGAGTGAGGCAAACAAAAGGACTTTTGATAGGGTCTCAGTGTGGGGACAGCCAGCCAGTGAGGCCCGAGGCCTCATTATTCCCACAAAGAAAAGTACATTCCTTTGTACCAGAAGAAATGTCACATTAGCACAGCAGAGCAAGAGGTGTCTGGAAAAACCTACCAGGAGTAGAAGCACAGAATTTCAGAGCAACTTGAAGGTCCCTTCTGAAGACCAGAAATCACTGCAGTATGTGTAGAATCCTGATCTTTCCTGATCTTTGACAACTAAGGGTCACCATGTCTGGGCTTTTGTAGGTCGGCGCTTTGAACCCTTCACCGCGGAGTTTAGCTCTTGCGCTGTCTTTGAGGCCCTTCGTTTAGTGGGAATGTGACTCATGGCGTAGCTAAGCCTGGCACGAGGGAGTGGGCAGATCCAGAGGGGTCCTTGGGTCTTCCAGAACGTCCTTAGCTATTTTAAAAATAGGGTGTGTTTGCAGCATCGTTCCCAAGCAGCAGAGTCGGTGCGGGCTGCGGCGCGGGCTGCGGTGCAGGGCTGGGGAGGACGGCGCGGGCGGGGCGGGTCTCTGCAGGCCTCGTGATGTGTCCACGGCGGCTGCTGCCTGCTGTGCTCTCGTTCCCTGGCAGGTGAGGGACTTGCTGGGTGAACTCAGACCAGCTACTCCTAGGGACACACTTTGCGGGGCAGGAGTCCCGCATCTCTGTCATGCCACACAGGCCTTCCACGTGGTAATTCTGGGAACCACCTCTGTCTCTGTTCAGAGCGTTCCTGACACGGCCATCATGGTGGGAATGCTGGCTCATCGTTCTGTCACCAGCGAAATCATCAGAGTCTGTGGAGAGAATTGGGAGCTGAGGATTCCTTGGGGTTTTGAGAACAAGGAGGAGACAGGGATTGCAGACTGCAGCTTCCAAAAGCACAGTCACCCCGCAGTCTCCGTCTTCTCTGGGGTCTTCACGGTTTCTAGACCAGCAAGTGTGTGTGGAACAAGCACAGACTGAGGAGGTCATGTGTGCGTGTATGTGTGTGGGTGCCCACGCCTTCGCCTGATGCCCTCTGGCCTCTGTGCCCTGCAGGCCATGGGCGTGTACCTCTATGGGGAGCTGATGGTGAGTGAGGACGCCAGACAGCAGCAGCTCGCGCGCAGGTGCTTCGAGCGGACCAGGGAGCAGATGGATAGGTCCTCAGCCCAGGTGGTGGCCGACATGTTATTTTAATGAGGTGATTCTCTCCCTTTCTTTTTCTGTCATTTAGTTCTAACCAGATACTCCCTTAGGAGCCAGCTAAATAAATCAGCCGAATAGTCAGCCAAGACCACCCGCAGCATCAGTAGTTGGCTCTCTGGCCGGGGGCCTGGAGAGTAACTGGCCAAGTGGGTGCTGGGCTGGTGCGGGAGCCCGGGGTCCCCGGAGCACCTCGTCTGACTGGGGCGGTCACCGGGAGGCAGAGGCTGTCCACCTGGAGGCACAGTGGCGCTCCTTGGCCCTATTTTGGCCACTTCAGGTTTTAAAATCTGTAGGAACAAACATTGTGGGGGAACGTCTTGAGTAGGTTTGGAGATGGAATGGGAAGCCTCGCGGAAGCGCTGGTCCGGTCTTCACGGTCACGGCTCACACAGGCGTTCACGCGGCCGTGTGACTCCAGAGCCTAGCTTCTGCGGGCAGATGTTTTCTTCTAGCCATGTGTGAACTGGAGGCTCCTTGGGCTGTCCACGCCTGGTCATGGGCTGGCGGGAGGCTCTCCAGGCACAGGCACACACAGCACATGCACCACATGC